AGAGCCCGGTGCGTAGTCGTAGTAGTAGTAGTAGTAGTAGTAGTAGTAGTAGTAGTAGGCAGTAGCAGTAGCAGTAGTAGTAGTAGTAGTAGTAGTAGTAGTAGTAGTAGTAGTAGTAGTAGTAGTATTATGTGGTAGTCATCGTCGTTGCCGTTGTTGCTATGTTACATCTGCTGTTGTTGTTGTTGTTGTTGTTGTTGTTACTGCTGTGGCTGATGGGAATATGCGTTGTTGCTGTTGCTATTGCTGCTGCTGTTGCTGCTGTTGTTGTTGTTGCTGCTGTTGTTGCAGTCCGTGTCGATGCATCACGCCAATCAGCAGCACAGAGTTTCTCACTCACTTGTATCCATGCTTCGAGCTTCCCAAATAGGTTTGGTGTCGAAAGTGTCGAGGGGCTTATGGGTGGTTGATCATGAAGTCTCGCGGTCCAGCAGGTCCCGCGAATAGCAGTGGTAGACTTCGGCGAGTCGCGCATGATGGAGGCTAGAATGGGCGAACTGCTGCTGCAAAGGCTTCGTTTGTGGATGTGTGTTGCTGTTGCAGCCGCTTCGGCGACGATCTTGACGACCTGCTGTCCGCAAGACCTGAACCCTTGAAAACCAGAAAGAACTCGCCAGAATCCATTCGAGTTGGACCTGCGCAATCGGGGGACAGAGATCATCAAGGCCGCGGGCTGGAGCCTTGGAGGTTTAGGATTTTGGGCTTTTCGATGTTTTCACAATTTCAGGGTCGGATGTGCAGATAGCAGTCCAGCCGGCCGTAAGCGGTTGAATCGCAACACGGGACAGAAATTCAACAACACCTACAACGACTTGACTCGGAAGTGTATTTCTGACAGTATGCAAGTAGCCGCTTTCATCCACAAACATGAATGCCGATGTCGGATTCAGTGTGTTCTGTGTTTGGCATGTAGCGATTGCAGGCGGAGTTTGACCCCTGACCGGCTGGACGGTTCCATCTAGCGTTAGCCAAAGTCTCGACAGTTCAAAAACGCTTGCGGAGGGCCCCGAGATGCTGGAGCTCGACTTCGCGACCAAGCTTGATTGTTGTGGCTTTTGTGCACAAGGGAGCATAGCACTGCCACAGATAAACAGGAAGGGGTAGTGCTTCGAGCTGCCATGCAGCAGCCGTGCATCTCATCTCCTATCAGGTGTAGATGTCTGTATCCGGCAGAGATGACAGAAGCCGACTGTGCTGGTGTGTAGCTTGTGAAATCCCCTCTAAGGGCCACTTCGTGCAGTCGTTCAGTGACCGCCAGGTGAGTCGCCGGGACTCCAAGGCGCACGACAGGCGCAAACGCGTTGGCACCAACAAGGCGTGACAGCTGGCGACTCGTTTTGCTACGGAGTATTGAAGTTGAATCCTGGTGCCCCAGAACAAGTGAAATGCAATACTTTGTGCTTCACAGATGCATGAATCCAGGCTGCCGACATCTGGTCCCTGGGCTGTCTCTTCTTCGAGCTGCTGACCGGTCGCTTCCTGTTCGAGGCTGTGAGACACGCGGATTCGTGAGGAAGAAGGTCGACACTGGAATCTGACGAGTTCGACTGTACTGCACGAGGTGTTAAGGATGCAGCGAGATACATAGACAGGATAGGGACGCGGCTTCTATGTTGAGTCGCCTGACGATGGAGAATTTGCAGGATTATGACTTCGCAACGCATTGGGTGCCCCGGCTTTGACGTACAGAAGCAGATCCTGTCAAAATAGGGCATGCGCAAGCTGTGTCTTCTTGATGGAAAGCCCTTCTCCAGATGTCTTCTGAGCTCTTGAGTGGCTTCCCTTGATCCCAGAAAAGTTGAGCTTCCCAGTGGACTGCCCGCACCCCGCGGTTGCCTTAGGCATGTGCCACTGGCAAGTCCGGCCAAGATGTTGTCAACGAGGCAGCAAGACCACGCGACTCCGTGGTGATTACACATGTGGAGGTTTGACAGCAAGTTCGTATTGAGGGGCCGATTGGAAGATTGGGGTGCCTGGTTTCGAAGGAACCCGTGTGTCGTTCAGATCTGCCAGGCAAACGAGCGACGGTTGGAGAACAAGGGACCCCTGCTGGAATACTTGCGGTGCCCCGCGCATCACGGGACCAGGGCACTGGCTGCTGGTCCTGCTGGTCCTATTGCTTGTTTCCGTCCGAAAGTGTGGAGAGGAGCTCAGGCTAGTCTTGTGACCCACCATGACGCAGCGGCTTTGCACATCAGCAATGCCGCAGGCTGTCATTGCAGGCTGTGGATAACATGGTATAGGGTAGTATAGCTGCGATAGCCTTTATGCATGAAGCGACGAACGGAGCTTCAAAAGCAGCCCAGTGTTCCAAGCCCCCAAGTTTCCCGGCTCTTTTTTGTGAAAGGTGAACTTCTTTTGAATCGTTTTTGCTGTTCTGGTTCTTGGCATTGAATCATTGCTAGGATAATTTGACACGCGTGTCGCTCGACGTGGCCCGCGATCAAGGGTGTCTGACTCCGCCATCTGCACTTGCACTGAGCGCAGAAGACATCCTTTGTCTATTCTTATAGCTCCCCACAAGATGCGAAAGCAAGCTTTGGCATCAACTTGGCAATGAAGGTACTTGCTCGTTCGCGATGCAGATCGACGTCCAACCATCGGGATGGCGTGCAAGAGGCACTTTGGGAACTTTGGGGCTGGCTTTGATTGAAATTAAATGCAACGTTCCACATCCTGAAGCACAGGCCCCTTTCTTCGGTACAGACAAGAGACAATTGCAATCAAGCCCTGCTATGGGTCTAGAAGTCTCGCATTGACATGATTTGACATGACATCCGCGGACTGATGTAGTTGACTTGTTCCGATACGACACGTGCGCGCCCAGGGCAGGAAGGCAGGCGAGTGGCAATGGACTCTGCCGTTGTTTTCTCCTTCCCATGCCTTTTCACCGGTGACAAATCCACATTTGCTCTGCTTATGCTGCATGTCGCTATTGAGTGTATCAGCCGCTCTCCATGAAAGCTACGATTATACAGAGTTTTATCTTATCTCTCTACCACGTGCGCTCACATTTCTCTCTCTTTGACCGTCTGCACGATGCGGAATCCATGCCTCGGCCGCACCTATCTAGCACGACAGCCCCATAACCCCCAAACCAGCGTGCGCAGGTTCGACAGTCTGGCGAGTTCTCTGACGGGCTCAGCTGCGGCTGGCAGCGTTTTGCTGGCACATGTTCCGAAGAGCTTGCGGGAAAGCAGTTAATCCCAAATTCTGCGCTGTCAGCTTCTTTCATGACGTTGACACAGACCCCGATCTTCCCCCCCCAACTCTGACGAGGACATCATCCCGAATCGGAAGACACAGATGCACGTTGTTGCGTCGTTGCATGTGGCACAGAATCCTTTGCCTAGATGCTGTTGAATTGTTCTGCCAGCCCGACTCACCCGGCAGCTCGGACCAACGTGCTTCAGGTGCATTGATGAAACTTGAAAGGCTATTGCTACCTATGCTGATGAACGTTTTGGGATGTCTTAGGATGTCTTAGGTTCACGGCGTCCTTTGCAAGGCTGCAGCCGCACCTACAGCGGACTAAGTAAGCCTCCTCTCCTGCGCAGGCCTCAACACGCCTGACACACCCCGCAGCAGTCGCATCCTTAGCGTGTGAGCCGTTCAGGATCTTGCAGAAAGTGAGGAACACTTCTGTGCAGATGGTAAACGAAGAGCGACTCATAGGATTGAGAAACAGACGGAGACACTTTCAAGAGTCCAACCCTGACCTGCTCAGTCGCACATAGCCTGGGAAGCACCGGGTCCGTGGCTCCGTGGCATCGGGCAGCAGGGCCGGCACGTTCTGCCATTGGCTGCATACCTGCAGCCTAGAGGTCTGCATGGCCAAGTCACAGCACAACACGCGACCTGTGAAGTTGCAGACCGTATCTCGGGTGCTGAACTGTGACATCTTGTGCTTGGGGAATCGAGTATCGTTGAGCATCGAATGCTCGTGTGCCGGGTGGCAGGATATGCCCGACAGAGCCCTGAGCTGTGCAGCAGCAGGGGACAGCGAAGGCTACTTTGCCAAGGCCGCATGGGTTCAGCGTTCGGAGGCTTTGAAGGCTTCGATGCTACGCTATGCTACAGACCCAAAGGCTTGGACAGCTTTGGCTGCAGGCGGGTAGTGACCAGTGTAGAGCCCACAGTCCGATCCCACGAGTCCAACAAGCAAAATGGGTCGTGCAGATGGCAGGTTTTATCGAACCTGAGTATTCTGGAAGTGAGCGATGAGGAGTCGAGAGCCGGGGCTAGGGGTCTTCAGCAAGTCTGCCGCGACGTGCATGTAGATGCTCAGCTGGCAGCTTTTTATGTCTTGCATGCTTACCTCAGTCTGCTTGTCGTAGTCCCAGACCAAGAAAGAGTCCGGCCTCAGGTGTGGTTCGAGCTTCCTTTCGAACTACTGTTGTCTTGGGCTACAGGGCATGTCCTTGCTTTGAAGGATCTCCAGAGTGGCCTCGGCCAGACCTGCGTGGTCTTGATTTGGGCAGCTTAGACAGTCTTGGCTTTGCGAAGTGGGAGTTTCGGGACTGCCGGGAATTGCCGAGATTTGGTCCTCCAGCGGCTCCCTGCATGATTTCACTCGGCATGCCTTTTCATTCTGGCTCTGCAGCATTCAGCTTGTCTTGGAGCCGGAACTCCAGCTTCGTTTGGAGCCATGGATGCACCATCCTTGAAACCATGGCAGCTTGGTGCAGAGACAGACGAAAGGGTCAAGCGAATCATGTGCGCCAGTTTCCCTGTTTAAACCCCCAGAAAAGAAGACACACCTCGCGGCTCGCGGGGGAGGGGGGGCGGCCCTGGGTCTCTCAGGCTGGACATGGCGATTTGCGTGGCGTACATCTCCATCCCATTGCAGCTGATCTTCGTGGCAACTCGAGAAGTCCATGCTATTGATTTCAGGACAGTGATCCATGTGGGCTGCAACCTATCATGGCAAGCAGCATCAATGCCAGTGTCTGGAGGGGAAGTCGAAACAAAAGTTCAAGGAATGATGTGACAGAACTTGGCAGGAAGATTGCAGGAAGCATGACGAACGATGAGCTGGCCATAAGCCGGTTGCTCCTCTTCGTGCTGCCCGCCTTTGAAGATTCAGTGTGTTTTTCCCATATGCACGCTCCAGCAAGTATTGGGCTCCGGAGGCTACCTTAGGACGAAATCTTGTTTGGCACTCTTTTGTACCTGCGAGAGACCAAAGCTACAGGTGATTCATATCCAATCATTGCAGTTATGGACCTGCCTCACACAGCGTATACCTTCCAGTATGGGAAGCCGCATACAGCCGTGATTGTTTACTCAAGCTCTCAACTTTTGCACCTGAGAGTGCAGTGAGTGCCTGGATTATGGAAGCCGCGTGCACTCGAGGTTTGCTCTGTTCATTCTTTGTTGCGGATTTGGCCATGGAATCCAAGCACAAAAGGCACAGAGCCCGTTTGCGCATGAGCGGCATGCCCTGATTGAGAGGCTGCCACGTATCCGTCGTCTTCTCATGCCCTCGTTTGCTTGCGGCAGGCCTTCAGCCCGGACTCTTTGATTACCGTGATGGAAGGACCTATGCACATCATGACCACTGTTGTAAGCGTGGTTGCCACCCGGCCGCAAACAGATGTAGCGTCCGGAGAGCAGTGTGTCTCGGTTTGCTTAGTCCTGGCGGTCAGGAGTCCTGCATGGTCGAACTTGCAGTTCGGTGGCAGGTTGAGTACTCGTGTACAGCATCGCAGCTAATGCCCTTGAAGAAGTATGTAAATTCTCAGTGACGATAATGCCGTTGGCGTCATCGGCCTCCATTTACATGTTTCGTTCACACTGTCCAGATTGTGTCAGGCGACCACACTTCTTGCCGTCAGCCTTCCAAAGAAGCTCGGCAGAGAGAGCCGGACCTTGTGCTGAGATTGCAGAATCAAGTTGCAGAGTCTGCCTGACAGGTCGTTCCTCCTGAACATGCATTCTCGAATCCCTCGTAGAATGTTTTAATGTGGTATATCTATACGTACATGCATATATAATAATAATATATATATATATATATAATATTTTTTGTCTCTATATATGTCTATATATATATACACACATATAGATGGATCTATACTGATTGAGACAGGAAGCTTTTGCCGGATGAAGGCAATTCAGAATCTAGTTTCAGCTTACGCTTCCCATGGCTGTCCACCGAACAGGACTTGGCATGCACGCGCTATGATTCTGAATTATTTGTTGTTTACCCGATGCGCAGAGGTGCCATAGGTTCTTCAACAGCATCGAGATCCATCGCAAGGGCTACCTCAAAGTTGTCTTGGAGGCAGGCGCCTGAGTATGTCACGGCAGGGACCGCCCAATTCATTGGAGCATGAAGCCTTTCAGCCACAGACATGTCAATATTGCAGAGTCAAGGACATGGAGCCGGGTCGAACTATTGGCCGCATGATTTCTGCGCCCGACGACGAGTCTGAGAGCGACGCATAGCGTGGTTTTAGACAACTGTGAAGCAAAGATTGTTAGTATGCAGTGCATGGACTTCAGTAGGCAATGAAGGGTTGGCATGTTGACGCTCTGCCCCAGTCGCCAGCCCTCGAAGCCGAAGGCTTTTGCTACCCATCCGAAGCTTTGATTCTCCATAAGGACCTACGCAACAAGGTGGCAGCGCTCGAGAAGTGACTGGGCATGAGAATTCGATTACGAGCAGTGCGTGGAAGCCACCAGCACTTGCCCCCAAGCCTCCAGCAAGCACCACTCGAAGCAAGGCTTATACTCATGTCTACCATGGCATGCAAGCCTCAAGACCAAGGAAGCTGCAGAACGTGACCTTTGGACAGAGCGTGTCTCAGTCCGTCGCACTCCTGCAATCAGGTGTTACAACAACGCCGTGTAGACTTACCCAGTCCTCGTCAATTTGACTAGAGCCGGTCAACTACCATCAACTACGTGGAAGTCTTGAGGTGCCGGAGGTGCCGAACAAGGAAGATGGCGAGGGTGTCGGATCAGAGCTCATCGACTCGATCCACGACACTTGTTCAGAGCTGACCCAGGAGTGCCTTTGCGGCGCACGCGATAGACCTGGCCACATTTCATCGTAAGTGACACTAGATACAAAGAGCAACTGGGTTCGTATGTGTATCTGTCTCTCCGGCATAGGTATTTGCTCGCAGGCACCCACGATGGTCAGAGCAACACTTGCACAAATAGAAAAGGCTACACGTGGTATGAACAAGGCCACTTCACTTCACTCCACTCCACTTCGCTTCACTTCACGGGCCTCTTGCGTAGCCAAGTCCGACGAATCTTCCTTCTATGCGTAGACGTAGAGTCTGGCAACATTGGACTAGAACGAGGCCACGCCCAGATGCACATGAAAACGAGCGCGCTACCCCGTTTTCGACCTTGCAGTGGAAATCGGCGCGAGAGTTGCAACCTGATTCGATCAGACGAATACCGGATAAGCGAGTCATTGCAGGTCCACAGTGGGTGCCAGATGCTATTTCACAGGGTTTTCTGCTACATACCGCTGAGAAAGCTATAATTTTGCAGTGGCTTGGCTTGGCTCGGGTCAGGATCTGTTGGGGTTGGCGTGGCTTGCTTGGCTTCTTTTTGTACGGACGTTCCGGCCCAAGGGTTTGTGAATGGCACAGGGGGCTTAAGCTTTCAGGGAAAAGGGTTTACTGGTTGTGCAGGCTGTGTGCGGCACGGTTCGGGGGTAAGGGCTTTGTAAGCAGTATGAAACATTCACGAGTCATGAGGCAGGGTTTAGGGTTTGGCTCAGGGTCACGTAACGGTTAGGGTTGTTTCCTGTGCAGGTGTTGATTTAAGGGGCTAGGGTATGTGCACGGCTCGTGTTGGCTGGCTTTGGAGCTTTTTTTGCGCAAACAAACCTTGCGCCCACTTTAGGCTCAACGGTTGCATGCCGGGTTCAGGGGGTAGAACATTGAATTAGGGCTTGGCGACGGCGACATCACAGCACTGCTTAAGAGACAGTCTTTCTTTTGAATGAGCGTACCTTCGACTTCCGGATTTCGCGATTTGAGAACGCAGATTTCTTGATTTGAAAGGTTCAGAAATCAGCAAACACAGCCTTATAAAGTTCGTATTGGGCACGCCCGGAATCACCGAACTTTAGAAAATGAGGCCCTCAGTTTAAGAACCCGACTGCATCAAAGTCTTAATCTGAATTTGGTAGTTTTGTTTTCTTGTGATGAACGGTGGGAACATGCATGGCGCTGCTGAGCTACCAGAACCTGAGGGCTTACTCTCCTCGGATGTTTTCCATGCGTCGCCACTGGAAA